ACGTGTTGCATGTATACTTCTTTTACGACCGGTTAGTTTTTGGGTATATTTTCACAAAACAACACGAATACAGTCAGTGGCATGATCGTCAGAATTGACAAACGTCAAAATTCAAGGCGCGAAAACATTCGATTGCTTCCAAACCCGGGTGGTAAAATCCCGGAAATGTCCGAAGTGGCTCAGATCCGTGGGCACGAAACTGACGTGGTAAAGTGACGCTTCCCGCACGCTAGATGGGCGTATAACCAGGTATTTTACAGACAGGAGTAGAAAATAGTATATTATAACTCACTCGTTTATTAGAAACTCGCTCCGCTCGTGTCAAATAAACTCATGAGTCGAATGCCGTTTACCGCACTTCTTGCATACTATACTTTTTCTACAACCGTTGGTTTTTGGGAACATTTTCAAACAAACAACACAGATCCATTCACTGACATGACCGCCGGAATTGACAAACGTCAAAATTCAAAGCGTGGGAAATATCTCCGTAAACATCCGATTACTCGCAAATCCGTGCCGTAAAGTTCGGAAATTGTCCGAAGTGGTTCGCATTCATGGGAAACGAAACTGACGTGGTAAACTGACGCTTCCCGCACGCTAGATCGGTGTGTAATTAGGTATTTTACAGATGGGAGTAGAAAAATATTTTTGTAGCATCGACAACCAGACCTCCCGAGACATATGCCTATATACTACCGAGTATTTCAGTAATAATTTTCGTTGGATTTGCATATGCGCAATTGACCGGTTTATTATTTATTAGCAGATATCGTGGAACGTTAATAACGCGTATACACACATATCTACGTGGATAATTGTTGTACCTGCATTAATGAACAACTTAATAAAGACCTGCGCGCCTAGTTTTCGAACGAGCTTTTTATGCCGGAAAATACCACAGACTTACCGCCGCGCAGGTGTAAATGGAAAGTTCGTGGATATTCACGACACGGCCAATTACAACGTCAGAAATATTACGCAACAGATCGCGGACAGCTCTCTCTTTCTGGCCTACACTGTACTCCCCGCCGCAAGTCCCCCAACCACCCCGCGAAGGCCTATTATTTAAATATCGCGTGAGACCGTTTTGATATCGACCGCGTTGCCAAATATAATGCAATAATAATTGTTAAACAAAACAACGATGTGACAAATACAAGGTTTCATCTTATTTCTAACAAAAAGCGACCGAATATCGAAACGTTATTATAGAAATATTATAGCAAATGGCCGCCACCGTAATAATAGCATTGACAGCAAAGACATTGTTTGCTTTTCATTAAAAAATCTAGGACCTTGATCGAATATCGGTATCTTTTTTTAAGAAGGTTCATAAAATTTTGAGGTTTTTAAACCAATAAAGATAGGTCCGAACGAATAGGGAAAAAATCCCTCGAATCGAGGACTGGAGAGACGAGGCGGCAACGTCGCGTATGGAGGCACTAATAAAAAGCATTGAGGCCCCTTTCGTTAATGACGTTTCGGGTTACGATGCCCGCGTTTCCCGCCGTGGGCGTCTCCTTGTGAAATTAACGTCGAGAGGGTCCCAGGCGCGTACCCAGCTGCCCACGGGGAGGCGCAATAACTAAATTTAATGCCAATAGGATGTATTACGTACCGTCAGGTGAAAGTTATTTGTGATTTCTTCTTAATCGGTGAAGCGTCGATTTGCTCGCCCCACGGTGATTTTTAAACTCGGCGTATAGTTTGGTTCAAATTATAAGGATAACGTTTTGACCTGATTATCTGTTGTTCTATGAAAGGTCCCATATTTACCCAACCATTTCGACAGAGCGAGAGCATCAGTTCTAGGGTTGGTCAAATTGGATACTTTTAAAGAACAAATTCCCCTTTCTAAAGGAGACAGAGATAGAGACAGTCTGGGGTTCAATTTTCATTAAAAACATAACGGTTAAAACCGGCTATGGATATGTTACGGTAAAAAGGCACTTTCGAAATCTTTTTATAGAAATTTTCTATAGAAAAAAATTTTGGTGCCAGGCACCGACTATATAAACTCTAAAAACTATAAAAATATCCATTTTGGAAACCCTTTAACATATCTTTATTTTAAAAACGTAGCTCATGCTTATCACCTATCACCTAGACACTGACGCACAAGTCTTTAAAAACTGGTAAAACTGGCAAGTTGAGAGGAACTCTTAAATCGAGCTGCATAGGCACAATCCGGTCCTGTTAAAAAGATCGCCGTATGAAACCGGTCGAAAATTCGGACTGTCAGCGGATTACTCGTCGAGATTCGCTAATTTATTCGTCGATGACACCTCCCATGGATTATCCCCGTGTACAATACACGCTGCGTATCAGCGGAACAATCTCCCAATGTAAGGGCGATTCGGCAGAGGAAAAAGTGCCAACGAGTCGACGCACTTTAGGCGTCGCCGTCGTATAGAAATGTCTGAATGCCGAGTATATATTATAACCTACCTTGCGCGCGTTGCGGATTAACATGCATCATTATCTCGAGAGTGGCTTTTCTCCGTATGCAACGCGGTTGTGCATAATTTTCTGCTTAAATGATTTACCAACGGTGCCTTTGAAGTCTGTCGTAAACATACGGTTTTTTCCTATTATTGGAATAAGTAATCGATCAGGTGCACACGGGCGCGTACGCGAGTGTTTATCACAAAGCGCATTTTTTCTTCATCGTTAGGCGCGGCCAAATGCCACCGTTCTGAGGAAGTTAACCAAGAAGCGACGTCGCGTTGCGTAGAAAAATAGGTTATGAGAGAGGGTCGTGTACCACTGCTGATGTGAAGCGCAGGTCGTAGATGAAAACATACTGCATTTTGGCAAACTTATGTGCCGTTGAAATATAAGAAACCAATACAACAGAAAATGTTGTCTTCCAAATGGTCAAGCGTTTGTGGCTTATCCGCATAGACCAATGACTTTACATAGCCCCACAGAAAGTAGTCTAGCGGTGTTAAATCACAAGATCTTGGAGGCCAATTCACGGGTCCAAAACGCAAAATTAGGCGGTCATCAAACGTGTCTTTCAATAAATCGATTGTGGCACGAGGCGTGTGACATGTTGCGCCGTCTTTTGAAACCACATCTCCTGGACATCATGGTTATTCAATTCAGGAATGAAAGAGTTAGTAATCATAGCTCTATACCGATCACCATCGACTGTAACGTTCTGGCCATCATCGTTTTTGAAGAAGTACGGACCAATGATTCCACCAGCCCATAAAGCGCACCAAACAGTCAGTTTTTCTGGATGTAACGGTGTTTCGACTTACACTTGAGGATTAGCTTCGCTCGAAATTTTGTTTGTTGACGTAGCCATTCAACCAGAAGTGCGCTTCATTGTTAAACAAAATTCGCTTATGAAAATCGGGAACAACGGCAATCTCGTTTTGGGCCCACTAGACGAATCTACGCCTTACTTGATGATCGTTTGGCTTCAATTCTTGCACGAGTTGGATTTTGTAAGCACGTAAACCAAGATCCTTCCGCAAAATCTTCCATAAAGTGGATAGACACAGATCCAATTCCTGTGCTCGATGGTGGATAGACTCATTCGGATCTTTCTCCACAGCAGCAATAGCTTCTTCTGTAAACGTGGTGCGAAAACGTTCCATGGTTAATCGAATTAACTGCTCTGATGGACGATTTTGTCGACGATAAAATGGACGTAGTGTGCGATACGTATTCCGCATGGAAGCTTTATTTTCGAAATAAAATTCAATGATCAAACGAACTTACCTGGTAAGTGAAGTTCGATCGTAATTATATGTTACACCTCTTCGTAGAAATCAATATACGTAGTCCCCCTTCTAGTCGCTAGGTGGCACCACAGCTTTAAAGCAGAGCCAAAAAACTGTGGAATAACTTACCATGGACGGTATATTCGCCATCTATGGTCTTAACCTCATTCTATTTTAAAGCCCGTTTATAATAAATTTGCCAAAGGGCATTTTAGTACTGTTCAGAACAGTAAATTGGGCGGGAATGGGTGATTTCTACGAAGAGGTGTAACATATAATTACGATCGAACTTCACTTACCAGGTAAGTTCGTTTGATCATTGAATTATATGTTACACCTCTTCTATGAAATCAATATACGTAGACTTTCAAAGGCAACTCAGCAAATTTGTTATAAAACGATTTTATTCGGCTATATAAGGAAATCCAGGAAGTTTATGAAAGCCTCGAGTACAAATACAAAATAAATGGCTATCCGAGAAAACAAACCTCCTGAAAAATTCTATGTCCCAAATGTGGCATTAACAAAAAGGCCTGCACTTGCTGTACAAATAGGTCTATTATAAAAAAGGGGAAAACATTTAGAGCATTCTCACCAATCTGCCGTTTTTCCAATCATATCAATTGAAACACCTTTACAAAACGCAGACGATGTTGAGGCATGTCGAGTTCTGTGAACAGTAAAAATAAAAGTGTAGACACCACTATCTTCTAAAGTTATCTTTATTCATCTACTTTTGTTGGGTATAGTTGCTGCCCTACAAGGCTTTTTAAATGTAATGAGTAAACGAGATTCACTGCCTCTTAAAGCACTGGCCCTCTCAATAATATATTTGAAACCACACAAAGATTTACATCTTCATATTTATGCAAAATTAAAAAACAGGTCGAGTCTTATTTATAGCTGAAATCTTAATTTGATTCGTTATTCTAATTTCTAATCCATCTGGAAATGATTTTATGTTGACCAATTCTATAAGAGAGAGCGTTTAGACTCTATGTACAATCGTTAACTTCAGTAGGAGAAACTAATTTAATTGTTTTAATGACAGTTAATTGCTTTAATGACAAGTCATTAGAACGTAACCCTTTTACAAAGTCAGGGACATAACTAGGGCCCCAAGTGCTGTTATATCTTGGTTTACTTGGCCTTAGATTATAAACACCTTAAAAAACCTAGTTAGATTTGCATTGTTAAATAAATCTGATCCAAAAATAAGGCCGTGCTGCACTGAAAGAACTCAATGAGCCATAGGACTTGCCTTGTCTAAAATGAATAGTAAGGAAATCTAATACAGCCTAGGTGAGAAGTAATAACACTCCACTCCCCTCCTTTCGTAGAAGCTCCACCAAAGTTTAAATGCATGCAGGTAATAAATGCCTCAAGGTAGCGCTCTGAACAGATGATAGAAAAATATCCAGCAAATCTTCTGGAATGCTTGCCTGACAAAATCCCTGCAGCCAGGGTAAGGGATTTCCACAAAGGGTGACCTCTCCTGTCAAAAGAAGAAGGTAATTTGTCTGGAATTAGAAACAATAAATAACTACAACGCCTCCCATGAAAAAAAAAAGCAAACCAATGCTGGCTGTGCCCGTAAGGGATTACTGCGATCCCTGTAGCTCAATCAGCCTTGATTTTTCGTAAAACAAGTGGCAACAAGCAAAACGGGGGGAAAACATAGAAGAAACTGTCGCTCCAAAAAACAGTAAACGCGTCTTCATTAGATGCCTCCGGATCTGGAAATTAGGAAATAAACTTTCCGCATTTCTTACTTAGGCGAGAAGCAAACAGTTCGATTTATGGGAATCCAAATTTGCTTGTTATTTTAGCAAAAGCATTGTCCGAAAGGTACCATTCACCATCAAAATTCAAATTCGTGGGTTCCTTATGCGCTTCAAAATTATCGGAAGATCGAATGTAAGATGCTTTAACCCATAACCTCCTTTCTTCACACCAACCCCAAGGCGCCTCGAAATTTCGTTTAAAACAGGAAATTTTACTCACCCTATTCTATTTACATACAAAATAGCAGTTGTCTTATCAATCCTCAAAAGTGTCTCGCAGTTAGTCAAATACGAGGCGAAGCATTAGAGACCAAATGAGGCCGCAGTTAATTCTAGTGCATTAATATGAAACTGAGCTTCCCTAGGACTCCAAAGTCCTCTGGCACAATTCCCCAACCCAAAGGAGTACCATCTGAGAAAATCTCAAGTTTGTAACATTGCTGCCTTACAGGGCATTCAGGATTCTGTAAACTTTTTAGCCATCACATAAAATCCCTCCGTAAATTACAAGGAATTATCATCCAAATATCATAATTATCGACAGAGTCTTGAAGGGCTAGATATTTGATTCTCTCAAAAATTCTTAGTATATACCCAACTGTAACAAACTGCTGGGCAAACTGAAAACTAGCACAGCACAAAGCTCGGCAAAGACTCTTATTTCGCAATGGTTCAAATTGCAAAACTTACTTACTCATCAGAAAAACAAGTGGTGGGATTCAAAAAAACAAAACCTAAAAATTTACGGGATTTCGAAGGATGTAAAACATTCTTATAATTAATAACATAACCCAACCTAATCAGTGTGTTGCAAGTTACTTGAACATTTTTTAAGGATAGCTAACTATCACCAAATAGTAAAGTTATCTAAATAAACTATTGAGGGAAAAGCCTTGGCAGGGAGATAAGAAACCACAGATTTCATTAATTCTGTAAAGGCCCACGGGGCGGTGCATAAACCAAAGGGTAACACGTTAAACTGATAACAGAGAGCATCAAAATAAAATCTTAGAAAATTCTTTTGATTTTCAATTATTGGGACTAGAAAGTAAGCTTCTTTCAAGTCCAGAGTGGTCATAAAGGACTTCCTTGTGAAGAGTGTTTCTACTAATTTTCTGTCTTCCAGTTTAAAATGACAAGTGTCAATAAAAGCATTCAGTTTCTTTAAATTTAAAACTAATCAAACCGAACCATCCAATTTTGAAACCAAAAAGATCTGTAAAATAAATTGATTCTTACAAGGTTCGCAAACTGCAATTGCACTTATCTCTAACAGGTGTTTGACCACATTACAAATTGAATCTTTTTCTTGTTGGGAACAAACAGGATCTGTCGTAATCAAGTCCTGTATAACTGGCCTCGCAAATGGAATTTTATATCCATCTAACCAAGGTAGAATCTGTGCATCTTGAGTTCTAGAGTTCCAAATGTCCCGAAACTCGTGCAATCTTTCAACAAAAGTACTTACTATTTTTTCCTGGGGACACAACTCCACCCCCTTTCCTCTCGAACCTTCCTGTATTCCCTCTTTTGAGGGTACAATGACTTTCACCCACTTCAGCCTTGCAACTTCCGGGAACGAAGTGGGACGGTCGAGTTTAAATTTGTATGCTATAAAAGCCTTGTTCCGGATGCACCTGACTTTAACTCGGCCACTAATCTGCAGCTAATCTGATTGATTTGAGCCTATCAGCCAAATCTTCTCCATATAAACAAGAGTGCAAAGAAGCATCAACGAGCACTTCCTTCATACAAGGCTGCATTTCATTTGAGACCAGCGAAAGGCTTAACGCGGCTGAACTTCTATATACTGAACCTAAATGGTGTATTTTGCTTAAAACAAATATTGCATTACTCAACATTTCGATGAGAAGTAAGTACTACTCATCCTTAACCGGTTTCAAAAGCAAGGTCAAGAGCGTCCTACCAACCACCATCAAAGCACCCCTTGTTGCAGTCAGTCTCTCATCCCTTTTCTTTCCACCTTTGTTGATGGCAGATTTCATCTGCACATTCAATTTAGGAGAGTTATTGAGCGGGCAATTCTTCGGCACAGGATATCAACGCAAAAGGTCACTGAGACAATCTTCGGACACACCGGATTTCAAAAAGGTATTAATCTGACTTGCCAAAATGTCATGACACATCAAACTTTGTGTTGGGACTATCGACCCCATAGCTTAAAGGCCATTTTGCTTTAAATCCGTCTCAAGGGGCTCAACAATGACATCAGAATTAATTGAAGGGCCTAAAAAATATACTTACGATGGAGTAAATGCATTCCAACAGCCATAAAAAATTGTTCATTATGTCCCAGTATCCCGGGCGCCTCATCCATAGCCGGACGAGCCAGAAAACTCTATTTTTTCGATGTCGAAAAAATATAAAACCATATGTATGGCCGACCCCCTCACAAAAGGATTGCTTCCAATTGTGAAACACTTACATACGACTGCTGTCGTATAAGTGGGAAAGATGGGGGGTCTTTCGAGTTCTGGGGATTCCGATCGGAACCCGGACGATGAAGAAATCGTCTCCCAATTGTAAGAAAATCTCGTTGATGGGAACCACGCCACTAGCGATTATGTAATCGCGGATGGAAAGATTTAATCTTTCGTCGTAGGTAGGTTCTTTCTTCATCCGATAAGGAATAACGTAAATCTCACTTGTACTTCTCCAATTAACTTCCAAAAACGCTGAAAAAAGCTGAAAACACCGACGCCGAATAAAAATGAACATGTGCCACCAAAGCACAAAAAGAGGAATGAGGTTAAGACCATAGATGGCGAATATACCGTCCATGGTAAGTTATTCCACAGTTTTTTGGCTCTGCTTTAAAGCTGTGGTGCCACCTAGCGACTAGAAGGGGGACTACGTATATTGATTTCATAGAAGAGGTGTAACATATAATTGCACTATTTGCAGGCGTTGTTCAGGCGTGAGTCTATTCATGATGAATTGCCATACCAAACTGAGAATAAATCACTTGACAGCTGTTAAATCGGTCGCCATCTTGAACAGAAATGCCAACTTAAAGTTCTATACATCGAAAAAAAACACCCATTATATATTGTTGTAGAATTTATTCAGGGTCTGAGACAAATAGAAAAGTAGAACTAACTTCTTATTTATTTATAAATGTCAAATATTAGAAACGGTACATAATATCGATCGATCGGTACTTTCGGGAAACTTGCACATCGCCGTCTGGTCTGGTCGTCGTCCCGTTTCTCCGTCGTACCCTTTTCATCGGTTCCCGAAAAAAGCATAACACTATTTGTTTGGTCGTGCTGATAGAACGAATTATGAAACGGCGCTCGTCGAATTACCGGGTTCACAACAATATTCTTCCATTTTATATAAAATAATCTAGAGCGAAATACGTTTGTGCAGATTCGATTTCTTTGAATTTTTACAGTATCAGTTTAATGTTTACAAAGAAAGTAAACCCGCTTTCACTAAACCTTAAATTAAAACAAATAAAGAGGACTTGACTATAGAGGTTTACAAAAAGTTTCTGAAATAAATCTATAGCTAAATCCTTGTAGAATAATTTGGGGTTTAATATTTGTCCACCAACGCACCAAAGCTATTCAACACCGATTAATTTGCTGTCAAAAGAGAACATTGTAAGGCCAGGATTAGCCAATATCGTATTTTTAAATCGTAATAGGCCCGTTGCGTGAATTTTAAATTTAAAGACAAAACGACTTATTTCTATTAAAATTAGGGACTTAAATTTCACCTACAGCCCCTTAAATATGCCGTCACATGAAAACGCCTAGCGCCGTCACATTGTATGAAATGTCAGCCGGTTTGAATTGTTAAACTAACCTAAACTCTATGTATGTTATAGGTTATGTATTATTCCATTGTAATGTACATTGTCAATTGTATGTTCATTACCAATCTGTCATGTTTTAAGAAATAAAAATACGTTTGCGAATTAGGGAATGGTAATCGATGTCATTACAACTGCCCGACTTCCATAATAATTAATAAAATTCGAAAAAGCGACTAATGGTGACAAATGTTCTGATATCGTGTTGATTTTGGTTACGATTTTGAGAAAAATTCTGTACGCAAGAGCCCGCGTAGGACGCTGACAAAAGGAGCCATGCTTGGCTTTCGCAATTACACAGAATAGCCCGCGTTCTCGTCATTACCGCGGTCGTTGTTATTATCATTATTATGTGGCCAACCGGTAGCGAGGCATGCGTACAGGGCTGACCGACGGCGATTGCCCATTGGTCCGGTCGTTAACCGTCCCTCCCCTACCGACCGCGTCACCGCTCGATAGCGTAATAAACATTCAGTGGTGTGGAGGGTCTTTTTTCAACTATTTCGTTAAACAAAATCATGTCGACAATCAGGTTTATTTACGAAACAGCCCCCGTATATTGCGACGCGTACGATGGGCACGCCAATGGACCCATTAACGCCCGCTCCCCGCGACCCGCGCGCGCGCGTTAATAATTATGAAAAACGGTTATGGAAAAAGGAGAGAGAGTTATTGTTTTTCGTATCGGTCGGGACTGTTAACCCGATACTATAAATAAGGACCGCCCGAGGGGGGCGCGGGCAACAACTTTAAAAGCCGCCAAAATTAAACGCGGGCGGTCGACTCTCCGCGGACGCCGATTTGGCGTGGGGTAAAATTAAAACGAAAAAAACAATTACTTTAATGTTTGGCTGCAAAAACATCGCCTTACATATAATTTTTTCTGCAAATCGTTACCGATGTTGGCCAAAATCCAACGCAAGATACTAGGCAAAGTGATTTCGAATCACAAGCGACGAAAAATATACAGAATTACAAATTGGTTGCATATTACGAGATCGATGTCACCATAGTGAACTCGATCTAAACTATAACATGTTTATTAACACAATACAAGATTGTTACTGTTAAAAATAGTCAAAATATTGAAATGCCCTCACAAAGGACTCGGTAATAAACGATTTAACCCCAAAAAAGTCAACATTGGGAAATAATATTACAGTATTAACATATCCATTGGCATTTACTACGCCTGTAGCTTTAAATAAAATTTTCCTGCACTCGTTTAATAAACAAACACTCGCTCCGCTGCGCTCCGCTCGTGTCAAATAAACTCGTAACTCAAATGTCGTTTACCACACTTGTTGCATAATATACTATTGAATGCAACAACATTGACAATAGACGTGCCCGTTATTTCAACGCTTTCAGTTAGGCGGCGTTCAACAATCCATATGACTGACGACAGTATTCAGTTTATGTGTTGAATTTTTACGGCAATATATCGTTGAAATACATCCAGATTTCATTAAAATTTCGGTGAAAAAACGAATTAAGTATATTTAGAAAGAAAATGACGCAAAGCCCAATGAGAACATGGGTGGTGAACAAACAAATGTCAAAGATGTTGTCAGTTACGATATAATAGTATATTATGCAATAACTGTAGTAAACGGCATTTGAGCCACTAAAGCAATATATACGAGTGGACTTGACAAGTTTACCAAACGTGTTGCATATTACACTCTTTCTACTCCTCTCTGTAAAATACCTAAATTATACACCGATCTAGTGTGCAGGATCCAAGCCCTTTCGGCCATTTCCGCACGGCTTGAATTTTGACATTTGTCAATTCTGACGGTGAATGTATTTGTGTTGTTTTGCGAAAATGTACCCAGAAACTAACGGTCGTAGAAAAGGTATAGTATGCAACCGGTTCGGTAAACTTTTTAACTCACTCGTTTATTAAAAACTCGCTCCGCTACCCACCGCTCATACCATTGCGATTTACCGCATGTTGCATAATATACTATTTTTTATGAACTTTACTTTTTGGATACATTTTTGCAAAGCAACACAAACACTGACCGTCAGAATTGGTAAACGTCAAAATTCAAGCCGTGCCTGTAATATTTCCAAGAACATCCCATTGCCGCCAAACCCGTAAAATGTCGTTTTCCGCAAACTCAAACGGTGTATAATTGGGTGTTTTAGAAACGTAATTAGTGGAATTTGATTGTTATGTAGTGAGAAGTTCACAAAACACGCGATTCGTTTGACATTCGTTATCCGCAAAAACAGAAACCATCACCATATGCAGTTAAGAAGTATCTAAAAAACTAAATAATCGGAATATACAATTAAAAACACAGTCCCAATTTTTACTTATAAATAAGATAATGATTTTCATCAGTTTTTGTAATTTCATTTTAGTTGTTATTTTTTCAACATACTGTATTATTAATAAATGAACTATAACAGATCGACAAAGTTCGCGCTGGCACTTCCGGTATACTCCGCAATAATTTCTTTGAGATAAAACTCTTATCCCTCTGCCGCCCCGTACGTATCTATTTGTTATTAGCAAATTATCGGAAGTAAAACTCTGCACACCACACGGATTATTGTTAAATGGGACGGATGTAAACGCTCTATAAAAAATCTTTAATAATAGTCGGAACTGCTACCATACTACAATTATTTGCATGTTTTAGATGCAGATTTTTTTTAGGGCTTTTTTGTGAAGCTAAGAAAAATTAGCCGGCGCCCCTTTTTCTGCCGGTGAAAATTCCAACCGCTCGGTGGAGATTAGATAAAATGGGCGCGCTAGAGTTCTGTGCACGACTCGACCATTTCTTTTCGCGTTCGCGCGAGACAAAAGGACGAGCGACGGGTTAAGTACAGGCACTAATATGGAGCCCCCCGGTGCGGAGGGGGGACAGCAGCGGCGCACGGTATCGCGCCCCCGCGCTCATGAATAGTGAGTGAGCTCATTAGCGAAACGGGTGAGACAGTAATGACCGCCGAGATGGCCTGAACTAAGTCGCGGTGACAGTTTGCGGCGTGCACGCCCGTCCCCTCGCCGCCCTCTGTCGTCCTGCTACGACTAGGAGGCGACGCGACAAGTGTACCGATTGCATCTACGGGGTGTCGCCGAATTAACGAGCCGTTCGTTCACGTTGAAACAGTTTTCGAAATCATCATGCCTGGTAGTATAGTGAAAACTGGGGAAATAAAATACATCGATTTTAAAATTCATATACCATTACCCCGGTATGCAACACGGTTGGTAAACTTTCTAAGTCACTCGTTTATTAAACACTCGCTCCGCTAGTGCCAAATAAACTCTTGAGTCAAATGTCGTTTACCGCACTTGTTGCATAATATACTATTCTTAAAAAGAAAATGCACTTAAATTCTAACAAAAAAGCTAATAGTTCGCGTGAACTGCTAAGACAGGTTAATTGTACGAAGCGCGTGTTCTACTAGATCAAAATATGTACCCAACCCAATTTACTTACAGAGTTTAAAATTTTAAATCAACAAAAAAATTTTGAAATCCATTCGGTCGTGCCATTCTATATACTCACAACATAACCTCTAACGTAAACGGTTTCGTCAAGGAAATTTATAGATGCAAGATATCAATTTGCACAAAGAACATGGTTGAAATTTATATCCTATATCATATAAGAAAAGCCGCTTTAGATAATGAAAATTGAGTAACTTAGATGTTGCTTTGAACCTTTTAATTATATTCGCATCTTTTCTGTATTTGCATTGCTTTTAATTTAGTTATATAATGAATGGAATGACAACAAAAAATGAAAAAAAAAAATACGAACAAGATTAATTATGTAATGTTGTGAGTATGAATCGATACCGAAAATTTTCGATTCGTGCGAGTTTAATTGAATTGTTAATTAAAACCGGCAACGGTGTAGTAACAGTAACGTCTATTTTGTGTGCCTTCGCAAGGTGAATAGGAAGAACTGAAGAAGCGTCAAGTCTAAACATTTTTTACCTACTTGAAAAATAACAACGCATGGTCTGATATATGGACGGGAACGTATAAGAGTGCGAGGCATATAAAGTACCCTAAATAACT